AAAAAAAAAAAAAAAAATTGGAAATATTCTTTAAGTATAAATAAATCTGACTGCGAAAACTGCATGCTAATGTGCATCATGGTTTCCTTAGAAAAAAATCTCGAAGAAGTCGATTCTTATTAGCCGGATTACAAGAATACCCTCTTAAGTTCAGGAAATTTTTATCATTATGTACACACATTTGCATGAATATTCTCTTGTAATGTTGCTTACTCGCGTTGTGGTAATTGTAGCCAAACGAAATGCTTGAACTTTTGAATAAACTTGCCGAGGAAGTTTCGATAATATCCGTAGCGACAACCTTTATTCCGAAAGGATTACCTTTACTCAGCCACTTCCTAACTACCAGCCAGTCCGTGGAACTTTAATTAAATCTCTTGTTCATTTATCATATTTCCCAATGACCCACCTCTCTTCGCCTAATCTAACGAGCAAATTCAACGCAATTTTCATTCAATTGACCTAATTCTTTGAAAAACCTGCTACTTAAAATTCGAAGACAGTATCCAAAGGAAACTTGCTTCTTTTCCCTTAAAGTGGGCACCTGGAGCAATAAACATCCCACAAATGTACCGGTGATTATGACTATAGGGTGGTCTAAGTCATCCAGAATATTTAAATTTCGCGCCTTAAATATGTTATAAATTAACCCTTTGCACTCCAAGCAATTTTTAATATGACTTAGCAAAGGTATACTGGTATAATATATAACAGTGAACATATGGTAAGCTTCGGGAATTTTATCTAACAATTTTTGATATAAATGCAACACAATTCTAGTACCAGAGTAGCGACAACAGTGTGCAAAGGGTTAAAAAAGCTAATTTAGACGAAGGAGTCACTAGAATATCGATCTGACAGTGCAATTTTAGCAAGAATGGTTTTTATAGCAACGAATACCCCTCAAAATACGAGATAAAGACGGTTCTTCTGATATTTTTACTTAGACCACTTTCGTAATTACCGAATCGAATGAGTCGAGACGAAAACGTAATATCACCTTCGATTTAAAAAAGGTGAATTAAAAGATGAAGAAGAAAATTTCCAGAAAGTATAAAATGTGACATGACCTTCGCCATGAAAATAATTAAAATCTATGACAAAGGACAAAGGGGAACAATATCGTAAAGGAAAAGAATAAAGAAGAAATATCCTAATGGGAAAGAATACAGAGGACATTTTCTACAATTTAATTGAACAAAAATTCCAAACATTGTATAGGATAAAGAAGAAATATTCTAAAGGAAAAGAATAAAAAATAAATATTCCAGAAATTAATAAAAAGAACAGAGTAGAATATAATATTATTTTGTAACATCACGAAATAAGGTTTCATCACTCCACAGAGTGCATTACCAAGTCTCCATGCATTTCCTAGTTCCCTCCTGTAATTCATCATGCATGAACTTACCCCATTTTTGGCCCGCCCTGCGTCAGATCAAAGACCTGCCTAGGATTCAACAGCCACTGGAACTTTTGTAGTAGCTTGGCTCCCTGGTTGCCACCAGATTTTGGATTAATAAAGACCAGCACAGGTTTCACAGCCGGTGTAGGTATAGGTTTCACCACCCATAATCTACCCTGATCCTTGTCCTGCTCCTTGTCCTTCTCTTTCTCCTTTGACTTCTTCCTACTGGCCCCAGCACTGCCACCAGACTTCTTCTTCCTAGGCGACTTTCTCAAGCTGCTCTTGAAGCTACCTTTCCTGGGTAACTTCACTATCCAGGACGGTGGCACTATGATGGACGAGTGGACACCCAACTCGCAGTTCTCGCCTATCTTCTCCACGTTGAAACACGCCTCCTTGTTGTGATAAGCTAGCTTGCACCAGCTGCAGCTCACCGCGACGATCTCCTTTGAGCTGAAGCTCAGCTTCGATTGGAACGACTTGCCGCAATTCGCGCATTTTCCCTTCTGGGACCGTCTGTGCACCCAGTGGTGGTGCGTGTTCGTCTGCTCTCGGTATTGACGGACCCCAACGTCGCGGAAGCTCGACTTGCAGGCGAAGCTTAAGCTCACTGCGCACACTGCATGGGCCACCACTCTACAGGCGGCGCATTTCATTCGGGGCCCATGTTTCTGGAAATTGAAGGAGGTTAGACTATTTATTAGCGATTGTAAACGATGGTACTCGTGTGATAGCCAATGTCAGTGACTGATATTAATGTGATAACTACTATCAGTGACTGGTATTGATACGATAGTCATTGTCAATAACTGATACTGGTGTAATAACCAATGTCAGTGACTGGTACTGATGTGATAGTCAATGTCAATAACCTAATTTTGTAGTACTAAAAGTAGCTTCATAGTATGAGGTACATTATAATCCTCAATAAAATTTTATCATGATACTTATATGTATGCTACATTTGGAATACTCCAAAAATGATTCATGTATAATTATTCACTGATACTGACAAAAAATAATATAAATGTTATTGAGGTTTATAATTATTGGACTTTCATGTTCTAATAATATTATCATATTGTACATCCGACAAAAAGGATATTAAAGTAAACTCGATGCAGAAGATAAAATTGCAAACACCAAGTATTTAAATTGAAATAAGAACAGTTGTATCGCCTGATAGTATAACAATTTACTTATCATGGCTTCGCGTTGTTAGCCAAGGAATATGCAAATAATAGACGCCAGGTCTACACATATGATTACAAAAGGCTTCTTTGTCGTGTCAAGGAGGATTAATGTAGCACGTATGCGAAACATTTTTACATTACGTTTCTGGCGTGTACTTAATTAACTCTTTACACAAGCCTCAATGTATGCACATTTTTTCAGTTTCCTGTTATTTTTAAATCGATATATGATTACCGATGGTTATACCACTTTTTTAGTGCAATCAGAACGAAATATGAAACGAAATGCAACAGTGTATCCATATTTTACAATTGCATAATTTTTAAAATGCAATTTTTAAATATCTTTTTAAGTAACTAAAGAATAAATAATTCGTAAAATATATTACATCAATATTGCATAGTCGCCCTATATATCATAAATATCGCACTAAAATTTAATTTATATTAATTAAACATTTATACTAGAACTAATTAATAATCGCGACATTATAGTATTTATTAAAAATCGTATTTAAAATTAAAGAGTTTATCGAATTATCAAATAAACGAATCATCTTTAGCATCTATATTTATGGACCAACAGAACATTGGTCTCGACGCTCGCAGAAAGAAATAAGAATTAAAAGGAACTAAAAATCCCTAGAATCCTATTAGTCAAGATGGCTGCTCGAAAAAAACCGCATCGCGGGCGAAATCGGGTTTAATGGCGTTTGAAAACAGCCGGGGTCTCGTTAGAGACTCTTTAATGGCATAATCGATAAAAATTACAACCAAGAATACGTAATTCAGCCGACCCCTTTTACCCCATTTGCAAATTATTTCGCTCGCTGGCTAATAACTACGGTCCTGCGACAGGACATTTCCATTTCCACTCTTAAAGAAGAAAAAAAGAAGAGAAAACGGAAAACAGTCCCGGAAGGACAATGGAAAAGTGGATAATCAGTGAAAAAGGAAATAAATTTCCATTCTCGAACCACTAACTCGCAGCAAGCCCCCTGTTTAATTCAGAACGCGGTACAAACACGTTTGTTGTTTCCAAAAAACACGGGATGGATATAATGAGCGTATCCCATGTTCGTGGAACGAGCTTTCGTGTGTGCAAGAATCGGAAGCTTTTTGCACGCGTCAAAATTTGTTCCTGCCCTGCTGAGAAACTCTGATAAAATTCGTAATCTGTTACACGGTATTGAAAAAAGATTTAAAAAAAGAAAGTGGAGGAAAAAAATTCTCAGCCGGATGGAAACAGATAAGGTGAGAGCGGATTCTGGGAATTGGTGGTACACGTGTAAACCAGCGTCCATCCTGCTCGCCACGTTTCAAACGATTTAAAAGCTTCATCGGTTCGCCCATTGTCTACAGGATGATCAAAGCGACGAACGATCAGCGAGGTCAAACAAACTGTCGTATACGGTCGTAGCCAATGGCTGCATAAATTCAGTCGTGCGACTGGTAGGGGAGGGAGTGCTCTAAAATCGTGACGATTCTCGGGAGAGTGAGAAACGCGGTCGAGTAGAATAGCGACGGTAGCTCGTAGAGGGTCAAGGCTGGGCGACACAGACCCTCGTCGAATCTCTTCTCCGTCGTTTCTGTTCCTCTCAAAGGAAAGCTTTTTTCCCTTCCGATATTGCTCAGCCGTCGTGGTTTATATTGGCCTACATGAGTCACCCGAAACGTGCCTCGATCCACTCCCGTGAATCGCGCAATTTGTCCGGAAGATGGAAAGAGAAAGAGGATGTATTCACGCGTTCTCCTTCATGATCCGAAGACACGATATTATGTTTGTCCTGTTTTTATGGAATCCGTTAATTGCTATCCTCTAGAGACGTAATTTTATCGAGAGGGAGATCTTAGGTTCGGTCCACAAGAACTCGATCCCACAAACACCTTCAAACTATTCTCAGGCCAAATTGGATTGCTCGATTGAGAGCATTCAGGGGTGAATCTCACTCTATTGCATCGGCTCTCGTCCTACTGCTCTGTGCTCGAGTCTCCCCTATTGCTGAGATTGAAGACATAAAGTGTAAATTTAATGGTACGTGTTATTTACGCTGAACGAGTTTATTAGAGAAACAAAGTTTATAGAGATTAAAGAAATAATCTTCCAAGTTACCATTTATAGCAGATACGTTTATTGCGGCGTATATTTATTACTGTGTTAATATAAAACGAATGTTTTAATAAAAATCGTCAGTACCGTGGTTTTCCTGGAAAGGTAAGAATGGTGAGAAAAAGATAAATAAATAGTTACCTTTAAACACAATCGTTCTATCTCGACAATTAAATTTATAACATTTATGATTAAGATACACGTAGTAGTATGTTTTCAGAAATGTTTTATCTTCGATGTGCTACAAAAGAATGATTCTAGTGAAAAATTTATTTTTTAATAACGCGAGAGAAAATAAACAAATACTTACAAAAAATTGTATGCGTTCTATTTGAAAATATGTATTTTCATGTGGTTTTACGCAAATTTAGCAGTTCGATATATTATATTGTATAAAAGGCAAACACATTCAATATCCCCAGATGTATTCTTAAACGCAGCGGTAAAAAGTACCTGCAACGTTTTAAAAAAAGATTAGCTTTCACACACATGGTTGAAAAAAGGAAATCCCTTCGTTCGAAACATAAAGCTAACAGAATCCCAGACCGTAACGATGGATCAAAAAGCCGCAGTTGAAACGTACGTTTGTCCAAACGATTTGTTTCGCGTATTCTAACCACTAACACGAATGCCCCATGGCGATACAACGTGAGTCGATCCACCGCTAATCACTAAATCAATAGGTTTAATTGTGCGAACACATTGTCACGCGTCGAATGAAGCAACCTTTCAAATTTCGCAATCTACACTCATCCCCAGCAGTCATTCCCATTTCTGCTGACCGCGACTGTCGCGAAAGCCAGCATAAATACACATAATTCAAGCACAAGTCAAGCGAACTAAACGAGAATAACATTGCCGTATTTATCCGTTCACGTTCAACGATCGGTCATCTTAACCTGGACAGCATGGAAGATCGCGCGTACTGAATCGGGCATCTTCGCGTCCACGAAAGGAACCGAAAGGACTCGGTGGTGGGGGGTCGCGCGATCAGCGGGAAACTTAAATGGAAAATTCAGCGAATGAACGGGCGCCGATTTATCAAAGTCCCGAGCCACCGGTGGAATCAATCTTCGTTACTGGTATACACCACGGTCGATGCTCGAATTCCTCTGGAAAACAGGCTCGTCGCTGACGGCCCGTGAGATTTATTTATCGCGTCGAAATTGCTGCCTCGCGACGGCACGATCGACGCAGAAAATCGCAGTTAAACGAGGACCCCAACCTCGCGCTTCGTTCTACCGATCGGAAATGCTATAAATCGAGAGTGTAACCGAGATAGTCCTGATCCATATGGCTTTTCATCTCCTTTTTACTCTTCCTTCTATTTTTTATTTTTTGCCTTTTGGTTCATGCGTTTCGACGTGTAATGGACACGGTAACTTTACACGGTTCGAACTTGGAATTTGTGGACCGATGACGGATGGAATTCAGGTTCGGGAATAGTTGCAACCGAATGGTTAAACGATTAACCAATGGCACGTTATAAAATTCGAGTGTAATCGTGGATCTGAATATCCAGTGCAAAAATAAATTAATATACACATATTACGCACCATAGATCAGGTAGTATGTAGTTTGGTATGCTTCTGAAGATTCTGGAATCATGCAATTTTTTGAAAATGGAATTTTTTTTGTTTATGAAGAAGGAAGTTATCAATGAAAGTTGTAAATTCTAGATAGAAAATTTGGGCTAATTATTTAAGTTACGAGAGATACTTGGCTGATTTTAACGATTTTCAAATAAAATTTTCGACTTTTTCCTATACGTAAAATTCCAATTTGGGTATAATTTTTAAGATATTTGTACTACATTCCCGTTACATAACTCTAGTCGTAAAAATATAAAAAAGATAACTTCTAAAAAATATACTGGTAAAAATAACTTTCCATCTGTTCAAATAAAGGTTGAAAAAATTAAAAAGTGGTTTGGGAAGCGAATATTTGGAACGGTTGGAAAAATTACAAATATTAAAAAATAATATTGAAACACGCGTTGCATCGAACGATTCGAAAAATTGAAAAAAATAGTTTATGTAGGAAAAGAATGTTATGAACAGTTTCAAGGATTAAAGAAGATGAAAAATGAAAAAATAGGCAGAAAAATTGGAAGAATTGAAAAGAATTAAAAAGTGGCATAGAGAAATGATGCTTTGACCGATACAAAAATCGAAAAAGATTAAAAATGAAGAGATGGACAAAACGAGGATATTTCAAAGAATTTAAACAATTAAAAAGGATATATTTCAATCAGTACAAAAAATTAAAACAGCTTAAGCAATGATATAAAAAAATGATACTACGAAAAATTAGAAAAATTAAAAAAATATATATATAGAAAACTATTTCAAACTATTTTATAGAAAGA